TGTAGTCTAAAAGCTATCTTTTAAATATTAAATAGGATCTGTCACAAATCACTGAGAAACACAAGTAAAAGGTCAATTAATTTTTTAATTTGCATTTTCGTGAAAACGAAAATAATACATTCCTGCTTTATTAATGATATTTGATAATACTTCGTTACGTTAGCGTACGTTAATAATTTTTATTTAAATCATACCAAGTAAAAAATAATCACGTCTAGGCGTACTAAGTATTAATATTCCGCTTTATACATGTATACTGACATTCCTTGGGGGCAATCATATACCAGTGACGTAATATTGAAAATTTTCCACTAGCACTACATCGATTCGGTACCAATTGGGCACCAATTGTTGCAGGTAAAGTAAACTTTAAAAGACTTTTGGACCTGTGGTAATGGGCTTCTAAAAACAAGTATGCACTTCTCGACACATATATTCCATGTATTCGTGAGCTAAACAAAAATCGTGATTCCCGAGAAGTTTTTTCAATTAAAGTGCAAATATGAAACTCACAAACTTGAGGAATGGCAAAACATATATACGAATGATAGTGGTAATTCTGCAAATGTATATTTACCCGTGAACTAAGTACGTTGCACTAATAAAATTTCCCTTAATCTTTATCATATTCACTTAAATATGTATATATGTCGATGACTGACGATTTCGTAGACCATAAGACTTGTAAGTACATGTACATGTTGCATTAGTTAGTTTAACGGACTCAACAGATTTATTGTATACAATCAATCCTATTTCACTTCCAATGTCAATTCATTTTTGTCTTTAGAGCTAGTACCATCAACTGATTTCTTCATAAACACAAAGCTGTACAGAAACCTAAGCATCAAGTTTCAAGAATGAACTATCGTTGGCTACCATCATTAATTTGTCTTTCTTTTGAGTTAATTTGTATGTTAAATGGTTTAACTTTTCTCCTGAAGGGTCAAATATTTATGACAATAAGTCCGAAAAAAATGGAATTAAAACCATTCAAAGTAATATTGAAATATTAAATAATATGTATCCAAATGTATATCTATACTTAGGTGGCGATTTCAATGCACGTACGAAGGATTTGTTAGATTATATTCCACATGACAATTTAGATGTTATATTTAATACAGAAGTTGATTATGATTCAGACTATTTCGAAATTTCTAGAAATAACAAAGATATTGAGAGATATAATTTATTTGGGAGATCTCTTGTAGAATTATGTTGTATTCATAGTATCCATATTTTAAATGGTCGTTTGTACAATGATGTTGCAGGTAATTTTACTTGTTTAACTTACAATGGAGCAAGTGTTGTTGACTATCACATTGTCTCGTCTGATATTTTTTCTCATATAAGTTATTTTAACGTTGAAGAGCGTCACGAATCAGATCATTTACCAATTTGTGCAAGATTGACTTTAGAGCGAGGGCAACCATTTGTTAGATATAATAAGAAAAATGAAACCTTTAATGAAGTACATGTCGACAAATATAGATGGAATGATAGGTATATGGCGGATTTCTTACAATTATTTACCGCGGAGTATAATTCTATACGAGAGAATTTACTTAATGAAATAGATCTAAGTGTTAACAATGCAGTTAATCATATCATTAATATTTATAAAAAATCATCAGCAAATATGCGCGTTAGATATTTAGCGCAAAATAGTGTGAATAATAATCAACCCTGGTGGGACCGAGAATGTGAAACAACTAAGCAGCTTAAATACGCAGCTCTACGACGTTTTCGCTGGACTAATAACACTTTAGACTTTCAACAATTTGTAGCGCTCCGAAAACGTTTTAAAAAAACTTGTTATATAAAAAAGTATCTTTACCAAAAGTCTAAGCGCGATCAACTAATTACGTTACGATCAAATCCCAAAGCCTTTTGGAAACTGTTAAAATCTAGAAATGGTAATATAAATGAACAATCTTCATTGATAGATACGGGAGCTTGGTTTGATTATTTTCATGAGTTATTATTTAAAAGTAACCAACCTAATATATGTGAAAGTAATTGGGACTTTAGAGTTAATACTGATGAGGAAAATCAGTATTTAAATTCTGAAATTTCCTCCGATGAAGTCATCAAAAGTATAAACAAATTGAAATGCGGAAAATCACAGGGAAGTGATGGCATCGGAGCAGAATTCTATAAAAATACTTCGTCATTAATCGCACCTGTCCTTTGTAAATTGTTTAATAAGATATTTAGTACTGGGGTTTTCCCAGACATTTGGAGGGATAGTATTATAGTACCTGTGTACAAGTCGGGGCCTCAGGATGACCCTTCTAATTATAGAGGAATTTCCTTAATCAATGTTATGTATAAAATATTTTCTAATATTATATATGATAGGTTATGTAATTGGGCTGAGAAATTTGATAAAATAGATGAATCCCAAGCCGGATTTCGAGCCGGTTACTCTACAATTGATAATATTTTTATATTACAAAGTATGGTACAGAAATATATTAGTAAACCGGGCGGACGATTTTATGTTCTTTATGTAGATTTTAAAAAAGCATTTGATGGACTTAAACATTTTAATTTATTCAATACTATAAACAGATGTGGCGTTAGGGGGAATTTATTTCGTGTTCTTTTATCAATGTACTCAAAACTGCGTGGATGTGTACAAGTTAGTACTACCAAAACTACAGACTATTTTAAATGTAACATAGGTACAAGACAAGGGGACGTAACAAGTACGATTATGTTTAACCTGTATATAAATGAGTTATCTCCCTTTCTGCGTAATAAGGGACATCGCGGTATATTCATTACGGATCAAATTCCCGATATTATATGCATTCTTTTCGCTGATGATGTTGCAAATTGCGCCGATACTGCGATCGAACTTCAGTCTCAATTAAATTCAATTTCAGATTTTTGTAATAATACCGGTATGTCTATAAATGAGAATAAAACTGAAATTATTGTATTTAGAAACGGTGGACCGCTCAGGTCATATGAAAAATGGTTTTACAACGGCAGTTCAGTAAATGTCACACCAATGTACAAATATATGGGTCTTTTATTTACACCTAAATTATCTTGGACAAAAGCAAAAACTAAACTTGCTGCACAAGCTAGGAAATCTATTTATGCTATTAAATCATATCAAAGAAATTTTGGAAAGTTTTTACACTCTGATTATTTTAAATTATTTGACTCTATGGTAAAACCTATACTTACCTATGGTGCCGAAATTTATGGAAGTGAAATCTCCGAAATTCTTGAACAAGTTCAAATACAATATTGTAAAGATTTTCTAGGTGTAAATTATTCTGTTAATGATAATGTTGCATTGGGAGAATGTGGAAGGATGCCTTTATGTATTGATCATCATGTAAAAATTATCAAATATTGGTGTAAACTTCTTTGTATGCCAGAACACAGATATCCTAGAAATTGTTATTTGATGTTAACTAGACAAGATAATGTTGGAAAGAAAAATTGGGCTACTTCAGTAAAAAACTTATTGTATACTTATGGGTTTGGCTTTGTATGGCTAAGTCAAGAAATTGGGGATATCAATCTATTTATTTGTCAATTTAAACAAAGAATTATTGATTGTAAAACACAAAATTGGATGGAAGAAATTCAGAATTCACCCCGATGTGACACCTATAAATTTTTCAAATCTATGTTAAATCCTGAAAAGTATTTATCTATTGATATGCCATTTTATGTAAAAAGATCATTATCGAGATTTAGATGTTCTAGTCATAAATTATATATAGAAACTGGACGACATTTGGGTATACCAAGAAATGAGCGAATTTGCCAACACTGTTTGCAAAATTATAACAATTCGTTCATCGAAGATGAATTTCATGTATTTTTTATTTGTAATAGATTTTCCCAACAAAGACAACGTTATATATCTCCATGGTACAGTCATGATTATACATTCCATAATTTTTGTAATTTGATTAAAACTAAAAATGAAGAAAACATAAAGAATATTGCTTTTTTTGTTCATGAAATTATGAAAATTGTTGATAATTAATATCAATAGGAAAGTACAATGTATATTGTAGACACAGCTAAATATGTATTTCTGTTTTGATTATATTATGTATTTTGGGCCGGAGGCCTTTATTTACAAAATAAAATGTTGATGTTGATGTTGTTGATGATGTTAACTTAAAAGCAAGCTCAATCGAATCAAACCAGTTACATTTTCAATTTTACCGAATTTATCATTACATAAGGTTATTGAAATTTGTTTTATGTAAACCTAAATATAACGATTTTGGCTGAACAATATACGTTTAAGTCTGAACTGAGATATCGATAGCTGTCAGTAATTTATAATCGTGAGATACCTTTTAAGTCTATATTTATAAACATGAACGTCTTTGAAAATGTAAGAAAGTTAAATATGAGACAATAACACTTCAGAATATTTACTGTTTAACATATACAGTATAAGAGTATACACTTGTAAGGTTGCTTTGATTGCTTTGTACATGAGCCTATTAAAATCTCATTAAGTCTGCTGAACAATGATTGTCTGATTTATAAGTAAACGGCGTACAGTTTATTTACAAAGTGTCCAATGACATCTCTAATAACCGCATTTTTTTATATCCAATAATACTTTACATATAATTAAGAGTGCTTACCTTTGATGATAAGGTACCGTTAATAAAACGATGAAAGAACAATGTTGTAAACTCATGACAAAAAAAAACACTTGCTTTTTTTTTGCTTTTTTTTAAAACGGAAGTCTTCAACAAGTGATTTGTGTAATAAATCTCCTTGTATTACCATTATGCATAAATCACCTGATATGATACAAATTTGAAAGCAAAAGTTAATGTGTTTAAGAACATACACATAAGACCAACAAACCGATAGCTTCATATTTTGGTTCATTACTTTCTCATTCATTGTTTTATCATTATTTGAAGTATTCATATGCCGAATGAAGATGTAAACACTTTCAAAATAATAATTGGATATATAAACAAGATAATGGTATATATTTTCATAAACTTTATTTCTATTCTACAAACATCTAATGTGTAATAAGAATGTTTAATTTTAGACCTTGCCAAATCTCATCATATCTCCTGTATTTTCATAAGTCAAGTATGTATTATAAACTTCATCCAACACAGGAAATCCTAGATTTAGACAAGCAAGTGTTACAGATGTTTGATTTTATCTATCGTTAATACATTAATATTTAATATAGTCTTGACCATTAAAAAGTTAATTATGTATCAGTAAAAAATTATTTCATTTCCTTCTTTGTTTAAAGTTCAAATTAAAAAAACAGAACATTATTCCAAATTACACACATCTAAAACAGTCTTTTGAAAAGAAAAACAAAATAAAGACGAAGTTTGCACACCATAAATAACGATTCGAGCAGTCACACCAATGCTTAAACCGTTCATATACCTGAAAATAACAAGAAATGAAATGAACTGTTTAACCGCTGGCGATAACAACACAACTTCAATTTATGTAATATGATAAAAAGCTTTTTCGTGTTATTATTTTACAGTTTGTTATGCATGGTATTAACACAATACGAAAATACCAATAATTCAAAAGTGACAATGTTCTTTTAAGAACTTTTAAGTTTTCATTTGTATTACTGCATATTTACCTTGCCAACTTTACATAAGCGCCTCCTTTATTGACAGGATAACAGGAAGTGCAAGCACGACAAATGCCAAAGTTGTTGACACACCTTCAAAAGTGTTTGAAACACATAAACATCAACGAAACAATAATGAAAGCAAAATTGCCCCACTTAAATTGTTTTCCTTTTCTCATATCCAATACATATCCTACCTTTTATCAGATATTAATCTTATGAATCGTTACTCTCCGAGGCGTATAGTAACGTTGTCGCAATGAAAAATGTTTTCAAGACTATTGGTTTTCCATACATAAAATTGTTGAAGCGGACATTGTTTTCAAAAAGAGAAAATGATCATTGTGGCAGCAGCAATAGTCTTACTCTCATCAATGTGTGAATCACAAACAAGAAACAAACTCTATTTTATCAATAAAACTTGAATATTAATACATTTACTTCTTTCCTATCACATTATAATAATTTCCAAATACAAAATGTTTGGATTATTAACCAAAAAGTTTTGGAATATATTTATTGATTATATCACCATGTCATCATGTCTTAATAACGAAAATGAATAATACTCTTGTCAGATTTTGTCATCGATTGCATACATCAATATGTTTATAGTTCTAGCTTTCTGATGGCAGTTGTTAATCACAGACATGCGTTTGTGTGTGTTAACATAAGATCACTTACATAATCAACAAAACCCTTGTGCATGTATCATAATATGTAACAGATGATCAATTACATGTTTATTTTCAAGAGTTGTGTATACCTGCGTTTTTTTTCTGCGGCGATACACTTGTCAGCATTCATCTTGAATCCGTCACTGCATTTACACTTTTGTGCTGTGGAGTCGCACTCAGCATGATCTATAGAGTTGCATTCGGTTCCTTGTGCTGTACAAACCGTACTATCTACCTCTTAAAAACAAAATGTTCAAATTAAACAGCAGACTTACTTAAAAATAACGTTTTATTACTTGTTTCTGACAATTTTGTCTTGGATACCCGACATGATTTTCTACTGTTTAAACATGTGCTGTACAAACTTGTCTTACAAACCTCATTCGTGTGCATTCCCGCGCGCCTTTCATGATAAATTGTGTTCTTAAGATAACGTCATGTTACCGTAACTTTTATAAATAAATATGTAAATTCATACTCTACTATAAGAAAATAAGTGCTAAACAAAATAATCAGTTTTACATAATTCTTTTCGAAACATAACTATGCAAGAAAAGGGAAAAAAGAATCTAACACCGGCTGTCATCACAGAACTCCACAACTTCAGATACTCTCTCTCTGTCTCTCTCTAAATCAAAATTCACTTACACTATCTTTTTCCTCTCAGAAGCACAATATATAGATATGCTTGCTCATATCACATACAAATACTACGTATCAATATTTAGAGTTAATTATTGTAATATAAAGATATGATATCTAATTCTGATTGATATTGCACAGTCAAACCACTTTTAAGTTGTATACAATATGTATCTTTTAGACATTCCATGAATTTTTATGTGAATCAAATAGAAGAAGATTTCAATTACGTATAACAAATATGATCTTTATTAACAAAATAATCATTTCTTCTAAATATTATCTTACATAATATAAGAGGCCAATTATTTTTACGACAATGACACGTTTAATGCATCAAGATGCGTTGTCCACTACTCTAACTTTCCTACCTGGAACAAATACTCAACATTAACTATGTTAATTGATTGTAACCTACTTTAAATGATAATTGTATTTTCTGCAAGCAGACGAAATTTTTATTTTCCTACAATTATTTTAACACTGGTTTGGTTATTTTAATTTTTTTGGTGATACTTTTAAATCCTTTTAATTTTATTACATGTCCAAACATCTTAAGAGGATTTTCTATTATAAATATACAACGTCATTGTTTCATTTATTTTATAACATCTATTTCAGAAAAAGATTTATTTTAAATGTATTTTATTATAAAATATCACGGACATAAATAAAATCCAAAATATCAATTCTTGAAAGGGAAAAATCCCTAGAGAACAATGACAGCGAAACAATATAATCAAATTCATTAATATTGCAGGCTCGGTCTTGAAAAGTAGTAGTCAAAACTAAAAACAGGAAATAATTTGAATATTTAAAGAACATAGAAATGTATAACTTCTTTTTATTTATTTTTTTCGATTTTTTATTTTTTTTCTTCTTAAGAATATATAATGCGTGTACCATTCTTTGAATGTGCAGACTACGTTTTATCGTGAAAATTTCATAATAAAAAGCTATTATAACGTCTTAACTGTAAGAAGAATTTAATTTGAAACAAAAGCAGAGAAAGATGCTCGGAATACAAATTTATGCGGAGACTAATTCAATTTACTAACTTTTGAGGATTTAATTACTATAAAACATATCTTGTTCTCAGACAAATTGTGCCTTTAATTTTATAAAACAAAACTTGCAGTGTACATTATTTTAATGATAATGTTATTAAAAAATTTAAATAACAAGAAAATCTTATGGTAGGATGAAGATAGCAATTACAAGTAAATGTATGTCGTGAAATGTCCCAAAGAAAAAAAACCCCTAATACCTAAACAAGTTTCAACAAATTTTCATCTTTGTATTAGGTTATGTAATTAATTCAAGAAACAAATGAACTAAACATATCTGAACAACGTTTTTGTACCTTGCAGAACCTATTAATATAAGTCATTTCGTGCCGCCTAAAATTACAGTAAATGTGTTCCAATCATTTTCAGAAAATTATTGAAGATATTCTATATTCAATCTATAACAGCTTACTAGTAAGTGTTTGACCACCGTTTGAAACGCATGCTGTCCCGGGTGTATCTTCTACAAAACCAGTACTGCATTTACATTTAGGATTTACAGTGGTGTCACATTCTGAATGTGGCACGGTGCACTCGCCTCCATTGCTAGTACATGTCGTCTCTGATATCTTAGCTTTGATAAACGAAATATAAATAAAAAATAATGGTATCAAATTTAAAAATCTTGTTCTATCGTTTTCTCTTTTAAGATATTTAACCAGCCAAATAATACGAGCTATTTTTATTTACTGTTCATCAATTTTTAAATCATCCTCAGACATATGCTAACATTAAAAGTTATGATTAGTCGATGGCAGCAAACTTTTCAAACTCATCTTATCTTAGTCATTTAGAGTTGTATTTAAGAAAATTGCTTAAAGGCTTAATATATCCCAGAAATACAATTTCTTTCTTAAAATTGTTTAATTCTATTTTTTTTTTGTCCTGCTATGTTTTTTTTAAAGTTACCCATTTGTCAATTAGCTTAACTATTTTTTAACATCTAATGCTTCCAGACATGGTAATTTACATACAAAATACTTCTTTGTTTACATTTTGCTACTTTTATGGCAAAAGCATTATACATAACATTCATTATTTAAACATTATCAAATCTAAATTGTCTCTTTTTAAAAGAAATAAAAAATATATTCTTAAATCATTTCGTGTCGCCTAAAAATCACAGTAAATGAGTTCCAATCATTTTCAAAAAAATATTGAAAATAATTATTCTATATTTAATCTGTAACAGCTTACTAGTATGTGTTTGACCACCGCTGGAAACGCATGCTGTCCCGGGTGTATCTTCTACAAAGCCAGTGTTACATTTACATTTAGATTTCACTGTGTCACATACTGAATCTTGCACGGTGCAATCGCCATTGCTAGTACATGACGTCTCCGATATCTTAGCTTTGATAAACGAAATATAAATAAAAAATAATGGTATCAAATTTAAAAATCTTGTTCTATCGTTTTCTCTTTTAATATATTTAACCAGCCAAATAATACGAGCCATTTTTATTTACCGTTCATTAATTTTTAAATCATTCTCAAACACATAATAACATTAAAAGTTATGCTTAAAAGATGGCAGCAAACTTTTCAAACTTATCTTATCTTAAACATTAAGAGATGTCTTTAAGAAAATTACTTAAAGGCTTAATATACCCCAGAAATACAATATTTTTATTTCTCAAAATTGTTTAATTCTATTTTTTGTCCTGCTATGTTTTTTTTAGAAGTTACCCATTGGTGAATTAGCTTAATTTTTTTTAACATCTAATGCTTCCAGACATGGTAATTTACGTACAAAATACTTCTTTTTTACATTTTGCTACTTTTAATGCAAAAGCATTTTACATAACATTCATTATTTAAACATTATCAAATCTAAATTGTCTCTATTTAAAGAAATAAAAAATCTATTTTTCCCAGACAAATTGTGGCTTTAATTTAATCTAACAAAATTTGCAGTGCACATTTGTTAATGATAATGTTACAAAATATATTAAGTAACAAGAAAATCTTATGGTAGGATGACGATAGCAATTAAAAGTAAATGTATGTCGTGAAATGTCACAAAGAAAAAAATCCCTAATACCTAAACAAGTTTCAACAAATTTCCATCTTTATATTAGGCTATATAATTAATTCAACAAACAAATGAAGTAAACATATCTGATCAACATTTTTGTACTTTGCCATACGTATTAATATAAGTCATTTCGTGTCGCCTAAAAATCACAGTAAATGTGTTCCAATCATTGTTAAAAAAATATTGAAGATAATTATTCTATATATTTAATCTGTAACAGCTTACTAGTATGTGTTTGACCACCGCTGGAAACGCATGCTGTCCCGGGTGTATCTTCTACAAAGCCAGTGTTACATTTACATTTAGATTTCACTGTGTCACATACTGAATCTTGAACGGTGCAATCGCCATTGCTAGTACATGACGTCTCCGATATCTTAGCTTTGATAAACGAAATATAAAGAAATATGAAAAAAACATTGACGAAAAATCAAAAAGCAATGGTTTGTTGTAAATTGCATTTTTTCCGATGAGTCAAAATATTTGTTGAAAATCAAACTTGATATGTGTAAAGTAAACAGATTCAAGATTCAAGTAGTAGTATACATTTTGTATGTGATTAATGACATGTTTTACAGTTATTATCTCTATAGTGCCATTTCGTGTCTCACTTAGTTAGATTATGATACTAAGTGCTGTTTGCAATGGGTAAATTACATTTTTTCACCTTACAATATTTCACTTTTAAATACATTTTCAAAATGTTTATGACACAAGCATGAATCTAGAGGTATGCTGCTTCAAGAGCTGATATAAACTATGCAACCTAAAATAATTCTTAAATGTGATGATGTATTACATCTTTCACATAAAACGAATGGTTTAAAGTTAATGCTCAAATTACTTATAGTAAAAACACGTGGATATCACATGTTGGAGATAAAATGTTATTTAACACAATTGTAAGAACAAAGAGTAAATTTCCCGGTTAACATTTGTCACAGTTGTTTACGTTCGCAAATGTTTCAATCTTATGTTACAGATATTGATAGAGCAGCTTCAGAAAAAGGAAACAAAAACAGATCCATTCAAAACATTTAAGATTTCATATATTAAAGAGTATTCTTTTATTGTGATTTTTGTTTAAAAAGGCAAAAAATATAAGGCAAAAAGTGACATGGTGATATTTCTTACTTTAATATATAATTTTCGATGAACTTATTACTTGACTAAACAATCGTAATTAATAACATGTGCTGACATTGTGTGTTAATGACTAATCATTGATAAAGAAAGGATTGTATATACTGAATATTAACAAACTTTTTAAGATATATTATACATCAAGATTTACCATCAGGAATCTGTAGATAATTACAAGTTAAATCACTTAACAAAAACCTTTACAACGAGATGTAGCACTCCTAGTAGTGTGGCACCATTCATCAACAAATAAGGAATCACAGGAAAACTGTAATGTTTTTGTTTAAACCGCATGCATGTATGATAGGATTTTTAATCTCACATTTTTAAGCATAACACATTGTCAAATTGTAATCTCCGACTTGTTTATCCAAATACATTTTTAATAATTTTCATGTCTAAAAATTGAGCGCAAATGTACCCCATAGATATTTAAATATAAATGGTGGTAGGGTTTATTTTTAATTTGATGGCGTATGTGTTTGTAAGAACACAACATCTGCATAGACATTTTATTTCAAAGAATCAACTAAATTATTTACTTTTTTTATAAATGATGTTTATCATTTAGTTTTAAATCTTTAACATATCATAATCATTTTGTTACCTGCGCAACAAATATGACCAGTCAATCCAAGTATCAAAATTATGATCTTCAATCTGCTAAAGGCAAGGCGAGCCATGTTTTCGTCTTTAAGTATCTGTGCAGACGAACTAATAACAAAACAACAGTAATTTTCAAATGAAGCAACAACCTAATTTCTATAAAGGCCAACTATTTTTGCATATGCATATATCATTTGTTCACACTATTCTTACATTGTCACGTGTCATTAAACCCTGTTCCCCTTTAACACTAACTCTTAGTTACATTAAATCGCATTTTATCATATTTGATATCTATAATATATGTTAAGTATTTTATAACGTTTAATAAAATAAAGACGAAGCTCTGTTGTAAACATACTTTAATTTGCTACATTTTAACTATTTAAAATAAAAATGTGTAGCTCTAAAAATATCTACTTACATTTTCACCTCTAAATGATAACCGCAATAGTAATGCTATATTTATGCACGGAGCCCCTTTTATATTGTATCCAATATTTTCACTTGGTAACGACAGTAAACAAAGCTTAAGGTAACCGATCATATTTGTCTGATCAAGTCATGTTCAATTGATTGGACCGGACTTCTTTAATGATTTCAACCTCTTTCGCAATCGGGTATCTTATCAAATATGGTTTTAAATAAGCGACGGTCCCCGACCAATGAGTACGTCTGGAGATCGTTGTATCTAGTTAAGGAAAGAGGTTTATGTTTTATTCTTCTTGTACTCGCATCGATTCCAAAAAGAATATTTTCTTTTCCAGGATTATCGTGGATATCAAATCAAAGTGAATGATTTAATTAATGATACATTTGATTCATTTGAATATATCATACGGAAGAAATATAAAAAAAATAAAGAGTAAAATATGTATCATGACAACACAAAAAAATATATAAAACAAGTTATCAAAACTAATATAAAACATTTTTAGAAGTTTTAGAAATTGAAATACTCATATTTTGTGCCAAACAGGATATAAATAAGTGTAACAGAAAGTTTGATGCATTTTAAGTTGTGTATATCAGTTATTATTCTATCGAAATTTGAATCTAATCACTGTACAAAATTCTTTAAACTTAAAGGTCATGTTATTCAATTTTTTATGGTTTTATATGATAAATATAATTCTCAAATGAAGATTTATCAATAGTGTAAATTCAAAAAGCTCTATTTGTAAAGATATTACCAAATTTACATTTCCTGTTAATTAGGTGAAGTAATTATAAATTTATTTTCTATAAACTATAAGTAAAATTTGTCAACAAGAAATGAATGCATATATTTTAATAATTACATAAAGTGTGCACAAATATTTGCAGTACATATGTTACATATCCTTCGATGTTTGAAAATTGTTTAATAATTATAATTATATTATACTAAATTTCACTTCAATGTAGTTACAACATTAATTACAACATAAGTTGTATAAGAATATTTCATGTTTTCTATAAAAGTGTAAATAGGAAAAGTAGTCATCAATGATAAAGATAGACCACACTCTATCAACCTAATCACATTCACATGTTTTCACATGAACCTTTTAATAGTTGTTAATATTTGATACGTGTCGAATACAATACCATACAATTCCCTTAAAGATAATTGTGCAATGACGCTCTAGCAAAGGTCCTGTGTCCTCATATTTTTTCCTAATACCTTTTCCTAATATTTATCGTTTATGTTCATGACAGCATGTATCATCTTTGATGTTCAAAGTAGTTTAGAGGTATCCAAAAATATTTTCAGTAAATCAGTGATTCTAGACTAACCATACCATATTTGCATACATCTACTTTGGAAAATAACACAATACTTCTGCTTAGATTTTGAGCCGCTTGTCCCTGTAATAAAATAATTAAAAAACTATTTTGTTCAAATTCAGCTTACTGAAAGTCACATTTTCAAAACCTTATGCAATCATTATACTTAACTGGATGTTGAGCAGATAAAGAAGGCAAAACAATGCACCTAAGCTTGTAACTATCGTAAGAAGTTTGATAAAATTAACTTATCGACAAGATAACAAAAGAAAAGTGTAATAAATACTTATATTCAAACGCTTTATAACCGTCAGTGATCATTAATGGTCTTAATAAAAAGCTGCAAGTAAATGCATTTGTTTTAAAAATACCATCTCTGATTAAGAATTATGTTGATTTACGCAGGTTGTTTGACTGTTGTAGATTATATTGACATTCCAAGGCAATTAATTACATTCATGATATAGATTAATTGCAGTGGAGTTAACTGTTATCCATAATACTTCAGAATACATATAAATTTGTGACAGCACGTCTTTTGAAATAAATTTATTGTTTCGATTAAGACGTCCGCAGATGCGATTTTGAAAGTATATTTAGTATAAAGTACTATAAATTGAGACAGATTCAAATGGTATTTTATTCAATTTATAGTTCAAATTGAAACGTTTAGGCCTTTAAGACAAACGATTTTGTGTTATATATGTAGATACCATTTTGCCATGACTAAGATAATATACAAATATTTTTAAAAATGCGCTTGAAACAAATATCAAACATTTGCAATGATTTGTTTTAGCTTTTTTAACAAATCGCAACAACAAATCAAATAATAATAATAATAAACAATCTCATCCGTTTATGTAAATAGTACAATATGAGTGTGCTTACTTTGATTTTACAAATTATTTTAATGACAGAATCTTATTGCATTTACACCGTGTATATCTGGTAACTCAGGAATGTGCAAATAAACCAACATTAACGATAAATCTGTGCAACGCTATGATCTAAATGAGTAACAAGGTTATTAAACGGACCAAAATATTATATCCTAAATCAAGTTTAAAGAAATGAGTAAGCACGAACGGATGGTATCAATTCTATTTTAATCAGCATTGCAATTATTTCCAAATCATTCGTATGGAAGTCTTTTGTGTTTCGTCAACGTTAAGTACATGAACGCATTTAAAATGCTTTGTTTCTTCACATTCAGTACACCTCAACATTGCGTGCTTGTTTTCTTGATTTATTGTTGGGTACAATAGAAGAAATGAATATGACAAAAATTAATTTAGATTGAAGTCAACTGTATGATATTTTATTAAAATATATAAAGCTTTCACAATATGTCTCTTGAAACGGTTTGATCATCATTTTATCGATACTGCCTTAGATTCAAGATAAAAGTGCTATTTCCTGTATGACCATTTTCGGTGACTGAAGATATTATCTGCTCTTTATATATGGAGCCATTACAATCGTTAAATCAAAAACAAAAAATCTAAAGGAATACTTTAAAAAAATATTCGGGACATAAACGTTTAATAACTAGACATAATTACAAAGGTAAAACATTTCGTAAACAAATGTACTCTTCTTGCGGAATTCATCGACACTGTTTGTGTTTCCTTTACGTTTTGCTGCGTACATTTGTACAGATTTCAGTCAGTTTCAATACTTTGTTTCTTACTACTGCAGAAAAATTCGCTTCTTATATGTAAAGTCGATGTAATTTAAACAAAATTAATAAGTTAAGCCTCTTTCGGTATTGTAAAAACCATTGCAATAGGATATTTACAACATGTCATAAACATCTGCCAAAGAAGTATAATCATAGCTGTCGGTCTAAACAAATACTTCTTTTCTTTATCATATTTGTATGATAACGATATTTCCTAGCAACTTCATGACAATATCTCATTACACTTAAACATAAAGATATTCAACCTTTACTGAAAATGATTAAACCATGTAAAGAAATGTATTTATCTTATTCAAACCTCCACAAATGCGTGTTTTATTAAAAAGAAACACACCTTACGTGAGACTTTTCATGAAAACTACATAAAAATCTGGAAAAAAAGTGATCCCTCGGAAGCATTAATCACAACAAAACTACATAAGAATTGCAAACCTACACTCTTGGATGAGTCAATATCGATACCGACATTATTTAAATTCTTTAGAATATTTATTAATGCCGTAAGTACAAAAGGTTTTTGGTACAATGGTCTGTTCAAATTGACTTGTACGCCCAAGGGGGACTGTGACTGTGTCAGGTATGAAGCTCAATGGTCACTGAAATATTGTAAGTTCTCTATGCATATAGGACAAGACAATTTTTAAGTGCGGGATTGCATCAAAATATAGCACTTTTCAGTATATTTAGTTAAGCAAATGTGAAAGTAAGCGGACAACTAAGTGAGTTGCGATGCAGAACAGCAGTAGGTCTCTGACATGACTACAGGTCTGCACATTTTATCCCATTACATTGTATGACATTAAATTCTATTTAGCATATAATATCTCAATTTGGCGTGTCAATAATAAAAAAGTGGGGTACAAATCTTAAGTTTAAATTATTTCTAGATTATTGTCTTTCTTAATTTCAATGTGTTTTTGACACAAATCTGAGCTTGATTAGTTAAGCATGTTTCATATATTGCTACCTTAGTACATTCACGCGTTAACTCTATATATAAATAATAAAAGTTAATCCGTTACTAAATTTATAACAGTCACAACGTCCTAGTTACATGATATGCCAACAGGACGCACAAAATCGTTCCAAATCAGCCACCATATATGCCTTCTTTCATTTAAAAAAAGTATGATAGACAAAATTAAAAGATATCTTTTCATTAAATGCTATATCAATAATTCGATTTGGTAATTTTTTATCTTTGCATATGCATGGACATATATGTAAAGCTTACTCAAATTATTTTAACATACGTTTTCGAATTAAAATATAGAATAATGCAAACATATTGTTTCATACCGAAAAAAAGAAACGAAAATAAAAAAGGCAATCGGAAAGAAGAAAAAAAGAATAGTTTAAAAAAAATGTTTGAACAACCGCTAAGCAAACTGGGCATTTAACTGATAAACGAGCAATATTTTGTACCTTGTATCTTTCTAAGGGATCTGTAAGAATGACATATCGACAAGATAACGAAAAAATAGTGTTATATAATAATCTTTCTTAAGGCACGGAAACACTTTATAAGAATTAATGGGCTAAATAATAGATTTAAAATAAATATTTGTTCTCTCAAAAACTATTTAATTTTCGCAAGCTCAACGTCAAGGTTGTTTTAGGAAAGTTGTTTGACTGTTACAGATTATATTGTCATAAATTTTATAACTAATTGCATTTGTAATATAGATTGATTGCAGTACAGGCTTCTGCTATCCATAAAACCCTAGCATACATCTTAGTTTGTGTGAGTAATGATCGTTTATTTATTCAAAATTGACTAATGGAATAAATCTGTTTTTTTCATTTCAGTATAATTATGACCAACAAAATAGTCTGTTTTTTAATTGAGCAGAGATTTTATTATCATAAATAATAAAATGGAAAAAAATTAAATTCGTATCAGGGAAATAATTTTAGAAAATATTATGATATACACGAAAGCATTCCTTATTTCATTTCTCGAACATCATGTGTTTGGTTGAATCAATTTGATGGAAATTCTTCCAAAGTTAAAGATCAAATATTAATGATATGCTTTGACATTTAAGATTCTATATGTACATATTCGAACATGTTTCAATATACTATTTCGTATAAC